AGGACAATGTGGTGAAATGGTATTGACCAGAGTAGGGAAAAAGAAAAAAAAAAAAAGTCCCATAAAGCAAGAAACAATAAATGATATTTCACAAACATTGCTAAATAATCTACTAACCCCTAAATACAAACAGAAAGCCAAGACAGAAAGAAGAAGAAATGTGTCCCATGCCATTGGACAGTTCGGGGGTGTCCCACGGTCCCCAGGACAAACTGGGCATTACCTCGGCACTTCAGCATGATTTAAAATAGAAGGCATTTAGTGCATCAGGGAGATGATATTAAAAAAATAAAATAAATAGATGAGGGCTGCATTATGCGCAAAGGCTTCAATTAGATGTGTGTTAAAGTGATGCAAAGGTTCCCTGAGGAAGTTGGGGGCAATGCACTAGGTCAGCTCAGTGTAAGACTAGCAATACTTTTAGAACTACTAGAAAGGTAGACTTTGAGACAAAAACAAACATCTGATTTTATTAACCATCAATGGATCTGAAAGACCATTACATATCAGGAACATCTAGAGCAACCTTTAAAAATATACTATGTGTAGGATCCACAAGACGTAAGTACTACGGTTTATAAAGTTTGGCCTCCTATTGCAAAACCCAAATTACATAAATGAGCAGTGTAGTTACTACCTAATCTAATGTACCTGTAGCGCACAGTGCAGGGTGACATAATGCAGTATATCTACATGCAAAGACAACCTGTTTTCACATCCGTGCATCAGTTTCTCTGGTTTGTATCTGTAGGAGATGAGAATGCTAAAATAGGATCAATTTATAGAGGGTGTGAAGCCCCAGAACCCATATGGGATTTCATATAAACACCCACTACAGGTCTCTTCCCTGAGGCAGTCTAAAAGAGGGTAAATGCATAGAGCAGAGCACTCTGCCTCCGAAACCATTTGTGGGGACAAAGGATGAAAAGTCACTAAAAGAAATAAGTCAAAACTACCCACTTAACCCCCCCCAGGCATAGGAGACAAAGCCAGAGAAAACAATATATCCCCTGAGTTATAATCCAGCTCTGTCTCAGATTCACATGGAGCAACTCATGTAAATACACACACACTATATATATATTAGAGAAAATTTCATTAAAACTATCTATCCCAGCCCAATTATTAGGGCATGAAGGGAAAAGCAGCGAGAGGATGAGAAGAGGTGGAGGAAAAAACACACACCCTGAGTCTTTCAATACCCTGCCCAGCACACTCTCTATCCTTATGAATATATCAATATTTTGAAGAAAAAAAAAATCTACTTTTAGACTGGTTTTATGGTCATCATGACTCACGGGGATGACCACCCCCAAATAAGGCCGCTCTTTGACATCTCACACTACATTTATGTTTTTTCGATGCAGTTAAAGAACTGCAATGAAATGGTCTTTGGGCATTAAAAAGGCTACAGATAATGGGCAAGGGAGCACAAAATCAACGTAACTACCAGAGGGGTGTTTTATATAGAATATAAAATGAGGCCAGAAATTCTTCAGTTGTGCATCATCCAGGATGTGCAGTAAGATCTATATGGAACGATTCAGCATACTGCAAACCTTTTTATAGTAATGGGTTGTTACAACACAAAGTAATATTTCAGTTATAGGGGACTGTTGAGAGGTTAGACCACCCAATGGTTCCTTAGGGACTTCAGTGATGAGGTCACTGTTTGAGCTACAAATTTTGCCCACCAATAGCACGGGCAAATTATGAGGGTCCCGGTCTCGCCCTGCTAGATTTTTTTCATTTTAAATTGTGAAGAATACAACAAGGAGTAAAGCGAGACTCCAAGAGGGCTGGAACAGCTGGGTGACCTTTTTTCCTGGAGTCCTCAAAAGAGATGAAATGCCAGCAGGGCACTAAGCCCACCAGACTTAACCTATAACTGAAACATCACTTTAGATGGGCTGATGCTTAAACATGAAGTATTTTTATTTTTTGGGCCCTGTTATTTTCAGATACTAGTAAATTTAGAATAGCAGAACTTTATGAAATTGCCTACAAATGCTCTAGTTCTGAATCTTGATACGACTAACTAATGCTGCACTGAACCTTCTAGAAAGCAGTAACGATTGGTGGAACATCGCTTACAATATTGCATGTTCATGAGCAAAATCTTTCAAAAGAGGACACATAATCGGACGCAAAAATAATATTCAGAGAGAGGGTAGGCAGCAGAGTAAAGCAAGCCAAGTTGCACAGCGGAGGCATCCTAGAAGATGCAGAAGCCCTACCCGGTACAACAAAATATTTCATGTCTGTTGAGCCTGAAAATAGAATATATGTCACTTCAATATGGAGGTTTGCTTTGGAACATGCATAAATAGAAAGGCAAAAGTGTCCATAATTTAACAAATGCTGTTCCTCCGTGATAGAGCTTAAACCTTCTGGTCAGCCATCCAAATAGCCTCCTATTATCCATTTCAGACTACTGTTTCAGCAATCAAGTCTACAGTAGTTGGGCATGGTGTGAAACTTCAAAGAACACTACCAATTGACCTGCACAGGTTACATGGTTGGGGATGGACAAAATCAACCATTATCTGTTCTCAGTTATTGTTCCAGAAAACCTGAACTCCATATATTGTTTTCCTCAGTGTGCTTCACTTTCCATCCCAGCCACCTGTTTTCAAGTTGACAGAGAAATGTATTGCAAGCCAGCCAGCAAGCCAGCTGAGTACAGAAAACATTTTAGGATAATGGCTAAAACATTAATAACCTGCTTTGCGGCAAATGACTTTTGCCAACTGATATGACCCGTATAAAAAGTTGCATTGGGGAGGGAATCATTGGAATGGTGGAGGCTACTTGAG